CCGCCCGCCTCAGCCTCCCAAAGTGCTGGGATTACAGGCGTGAGCCACCACGCCTGGCCTACTCTACTGTTTTTTAATTTGCATCACCCTCCAACCCTGACTGTGTTAATTAAGCTTCTGTATTGACTTTCTCTTTCAGAAGATCAGATCAGGTTTTTATTTTTTTCTAGAGACAGTATCTCACTATGTCACCCAGGCTACAGTGCAGTGGCTATTTACAGACACCATCATAGCACACTGCATCCTTGAACTTCTGGCCTCAAGCGATCTTCCTTCTTCATCCTCCAGAGTAGCTAGGACTACAGGCATATGCCACCATTCCTGACTTGAAGATTAGAGTTTGTTTTTAAGATCGAGTCTTGCTCCGTCACTCAGACTGGAGTGCAGTAGCGTGCTCTCAGCTTGGGGCTTCACCATGTTGGCCAGGCTGGTCTTGAACGCCTAACCTCAAGTGATCGGCCCACCTTGGCTTCCCAAAGTGCTGGGATTACAGGTGTGAGCCCCTGAAGATTAGGTTTTTTTTTTTTGGAGACGGAGTTTCGCTCGTTACCCAGGCTGGAGTGCAATGGCGCAATCTCGGCTCACCGCAACCTCCGCCTCCTGGGTTCAAGCAATTTTCCTGCCTCAGCCTCCTGAGTAGCTGGGACTACAGGCACGCGCCACCATGCCCAGCTAATTTTTTGTAGTTTTAGTAGAGACGGGGTTTCACCATGTTGACCAGGATGGTCTCGATCTCTTGACCTCGTGATCCACCCGCCTCGGCCTCCCAAAGTGCTGGGATTACAGGCTTGAGCCACCGCGCCCGGCCTGAAGATTAGGTTTTAACTGACACCTCCTTCTCTACATTTTTCTTCATCTTCTGATGTAATTATATCAAGTTTTGGTTAAATTGACATTTAGTGTTAACATAATGATCACATGAACATTTTAACTGCTAATCTGAGTTGAAAGAATTGGGTGAATTATTGTTTATTGGCTTTAATTATGAGTGAAGTTAAAGGTTGTCATGTAGTTGTGGTTTATTTTATGACTTGCTCATTTTTCTCAGATGCTCAGTTTGTTGGTTTGTACAAGCAGCCTGGACTCTTAGAAAGTATTGGTGGAGGTTAAACTTCTTGAAGAAACATTGAGCTTTTGCCGGACATGGTGACTTGTGCCTGTAATCCAAGCACTTTGGGAGGTCAGGGCAGTAGGACTGCTTGAGGCCAGGAGTTTGAGACCAGCCTGGCCAATATGGTGAAACTCCATCTCTACTAAAAATACAAAAATTAGCTGGGTGTGTTGGCATGTGTCTGTAATCCCAGCTACTCAGGAGGCTGAGGCAGGAGAGCCACTTGAACCCACTGAGGCGAAGGTTGCACTGCCCTGAGATCATGCCACTGCATTCTAGCCTGGGTAACAAAGTGAGACTCTGAAACCAACCAAAAAACACCAAAAAATCCCCTGAGCTTTACACTCATAGATGAGGAGTTCGGAGTAGAAATGGATGATGACCTGTTATCTGTGTCAGTTTTTGTTGCTATCTACCATTCACGTCTTTATTCTTAGGTTGTCATCTGTGTCATCTGTGGGTAGAAAGCACTAACTTTCTACCCATGGAAATAAGCTCACCACATTTCAGAAAATATGGTGGGTCACAGGAAAGCACTCAGATGGGACACCCTAGTTGGATTTGGTACAAAATGAGCCAGATGTGAGAAAAGGCAAATTTTACTGTGATTATGAAAGGTAAGAATGATGGAGCTGTGTGGTGGCTCAGGCCTGTAATCTCAATTTGGGAGGGTGAGGTGAGAGGGTTACTTGAGGCCAGGAGTTTGAGATCAGCTTGGGCAACAAAGTGAAACCCCATTTCTTTAAAAAAAAAAAAAAAAAAAGGATATTAGGGAAGAGCAGAGATTTCTTAAAAGTGCACTTAACAAAAGGATTAGGCTGATCTAATAATTGGAATGTCAGTATTGATTTAGTTTTACTTGGTACAGTTTACCGGGAGTGGGGGAAGGGCCGAGCATAAGGATAAAGGGGGAGTTTTGGTTTTGTGGATCTCAGGTGTTCACCAACGAACCAGATGGAAGTGGTCAGGTGATGGAGAGCCTCTGCTCTGAGAACCTAAATGAGAGGCAAAACATTGTCTCTGTGTAGTGCATGGCACATCCCTGGGCTCTGATCTGGGAAGGAGTGGACTCAGGACCAAAGCAGATTTCTCTGTGGGGCTGCAGTTAATGAAATCGTCCTGTAGTGAGCCTGGTCTAGGGCATTCTGGCCTCCAAGATCGAGAGGAATGGTGGCAGGGCAGTGGGCCAGAGGTGAAGCGAGATGAGGAAGGCCAAGGCTTTTTCTCCTGAGAAAGCCAGAGCTAGGGCACTAATTATAGTTTTACACAATGCCAACTTCCAGCCTGCATAGAGAAACATGAAATTTGTGCTTAAAACAGAGTTCCTTTTTCCATTTTTGGCTGTAAACTTTTTGTGTTGGGAGTTAGGAACCAATTTTGGAGAGTGATTGTAGTGAGGGAATCTGGAAAACCTGTGAAAATGGAAAAGCTCGTTTTAGACAGGAAAAATCTGTCTCTTGGAGTGAGTAGCAAAGGGTTTTCTTGCTCAAGGTAGTTTTCCTTTCTGTTCTTGGTGTGGTGCCTGACTCCACATTTTTTCACCCAGTTCTTAAACAGGTTTTGCTGAGTAGCTAAAGGCAAATCATCTTCTCCATAAATTGGGTGTAGTTAATAACAGCTGTTATTCGGAGAGTGACTGGATTAACAGGTAAGAAAGAGTTTGGACTAGAGTGACTCAGAAAATGGTATGAAATAGTGAGAAGAACCTGAGATTGCTATGTGTCCCAGAGAAGACACCTTCCTTAGATCTAAGTTAAGGAGACTGAATTAAAACAGCCTATGTTGATTTAAAAAATATATATATTTTTGATTTTAAAATTTTTCTTAGAGACAAGGTCTTGCTCTATTGCTCAGGCTGGAGTACAGTGGCGTGATCACAGTTCTCTGCAGCCTTGAACTCCTGGGCTGAAACTATCCTCCCGTCTCAACCCAAGTAGCTGGAACTACAGGTGTGCATGCCACCACATTTTACTAATTTTTAAATTTTTTTGTAGATAATGGGTCTTGCTCTGTTGCCTGGACTCCCAGGCTCAAGTGATCCTCTCACTTTGCCCTCCCAAACTGCTGGGATTATAGGTGTGAGCCATTGCACCCAGCCTAATCAGCCTATGAAGTCCCCTCCAGTCATACAAGGTGAATCTTGGGAAGGCAGACTGGAGATTCGGCGCCCCCCCCCCCCCCCCATCTCTGTCTCATCTTGGAGCTGGCCCAGTGCACCTGGGTGTCTCTGAGATCATGTGCCCCCAGGGGCAGCAGTAGTGAGAAAGACAGTTGTGAAAGACACATTGTCATGATGGTTTTTCTCTCTGTGGTTTTTCCTTATTTCCTGGCTTCGCCCACAAACACAGATTCTCAGCTTCTTGCCTTTGTCTTAGTTTCTTTTGAACATTTATTTGGAAGCTCTCATTTTGTGCCCATATCTTTTTTCCTGGATCTGGATGTGGTTCATAGGAGTGACCTCAGGCCAACCTGAGTACCTGGTGTAGATAGTCTGGCTAATTTGACATTCTGAAAGACCTTCTTATTGCCTGATGAGAATCAAAGTCAAGCTGGTAAAGCTACCGTTGGCTACTTCTGTGCGTGCCGCTCCCCTACGTCTGCAATATTTATTAAAAGGTGACCCTCTCAGGGCTCTAGGCTTGATGCCGCTTGTGGTTTTTTTTTTCTTAAAAGAAACAAAACAGGATACATGTGCAGAACTTGCAGGTTTGTTACATAGGTATATGTGTACCATCGTGGTTTGCTGCACCTGCTGACCCGTCCTCTAAGTTCCCTCCCCTCATCCTCACCTCCAACAGGCCCTGGTGTGTGTTGTTCCCCTCTCTACATCCATGTGTTCTTGTTGTCAACCTGCACTTATAAGTGAGAACATGTGGTATTTGATTTTCTGTTCCTGAGTTAGTTTGCTGAGGATGATGGTTTCCAGCTGTCCCTGCAAAGGACATGATCTCATTCCTTTTTATGGCTGCATAGTATTCCATGGTGTGTATGTACCACATTTTCTTTTTTTTTTTTTTTTTGAGACGGAGTTTCACTCATGTTACCCACGCTGGAGTGCAATGGCGCGATCTCGGCTCACTGCAACCTCCACCTCCTGGGTTCAGGCAATTCTCCTGCCTCAGCCTCCTGAGTAGCTGGAATTATAGGCACGCGCCACCATGCCCAGCTAATTTTTTGTATTTTTAGTAGAGACAGGGTTTCACCATGTTGACCAGGATGGTCTCGATCTCTTGACCTCGTGATCCACCCGCCTCGGCCTCCCAAAGTGCTGGGATTACAGGCTTGAGCCACCGCGCCCGGCCCACATTTTCTTTACCTAGCCTATCATTGATGGGCATTTGGGTTAGTTACATGTCTCTGCTATTGTAAATAGTGCTACAATAAACGTATGTGTGCTTTATAGTAGAATGATTTATATTCTTTTGGGTATATACACAATAGTGGAATTGCTGGGTTAAATGGTATTTCTGGTTCTAGATCCTTGAGGAATCACCATACTGTCTTCTACAATGGCTGAACTAATTGCAACAAAAGGCAAAACTGACAAATGGGATCTAATTAAACTAAAGAGCTTCTGCACGGCAAAAGAAACTATCATCAGCATGAACAGGCAACCTACAGAATGGGAGAAAATTTTTGCAGTTTACCCACTTGACAAAGGTCTAATATCCACAATTTACAAAGGAACTTAAACAAATTTACAAGAAAAAAAAAAAAAACATCAAAAAGTGGACAAAGGATATGAACAGGCACTTCTTGAAAGAAGACATTTATGTGACCAACGTATGAAAAAAAGCTCAACATCACTGGTCATTAGAGAAATGCAAATCAAAACCACAGTGAGATACCATCTCATGCCAGTCAGAATGGCAATTATTAAAAAGTCAGGAAACAGTAAATGCTGGCGATGCTGTGGAGAAATAGGAATGCTTTTACATTGTTGGTAGGAATGTAAATTAGTGCTTACGGTTTTTAAAAGGCTTCCAGAGCAGGGGACCCGTATATTTAGTCCCATAGAACACATCCCTTTACCTGCCTCTTAGCATTTCATCCATCCTTTCTTTATATACGTAATTTCTCCTGGAGTTGAGACAGGAGGTGGCTTGTTACGTGTGTAGAAAAGAGAAAGAATGGGTGGGTATGTGAACAAACGGCACTGGGAAATAGATGGCATTGGAAGTGTTGCCACAGCTCTATGGGAATTACTTGGATATTATGATTAATGGATAGTCAGACATCTCTCAAGTATCAAAGAGTGGTCTTCCCTTAAAGGTTATTGTTCCCAAGTTTATCCCTCTCTTGGTGCCCTGGCTCTGGTTTCTTCTAAGTTGCCCCTTGGGTTACTTGTCATGTGAATATCAAGGCCTGATTCTACCTCTGTGTGAGTTACAAGGGACTGCCTTCCAGTGGAGTTTTGCAGAATCACATGTGTCATAGAGAACAGGTTTTAACGCTGGGCTGTTGTTAGGCTTTAGGGCTAGTGCAGAGAGGCCCCAGAAAGAGCTGAACCTACTGGTGAGGCTTCTTACAAATCTAATCAGAGGTGGGGGAAATTTGGGTGCTGGGAAGAACAGATTATGTCCATGATTTTAATGCCCACCTTTATTTGCAAAGTGAAAGGAGAAATATATTACCCTACTGCATTTCCTACCCTTCACATGTCAGCATATTTGATTTTTTTTGGTTTTCATTTAAAAAAATGCCCAAAAAATGTTAAATATGCCAAATATTTATTTTTTAAAAAGTAGGCCAAGTATTATGTCTTTCTGCTAAATCTAGTAGGTTCTCTCTCACCCACCTTCTCTCCAACCAGGTGTTTGGAGAAAGGATCCTTTATCCAGAAAGGAATTTTAAACCTCAGAGTTAAGTTCTTCTGCTTGACCTCAGTGCTTCCCTCACTGAATGTCATCTTAAGCCAGAATGTATTTCATAGAGTGTTCCTCCTCTTTACTCCTTCCGTCCTTTGATGCTTTATGACCCATGAAAATAATGAAAAGTATTTGTTTTGGCCCCTAGTATTACCAGGTTTAGGTACTATTGCTATCCTGCATCTTTTTCATTCTTATCTCTGCACTATAGTTCTATTTCCTTCTTGACTATTTCACTACTGGAGACAAGTGAGTTATTTCCCAAGAACTCGTAACTTGCCCTCAGTATAAGGCTGTGGATAGACACTCAAGGGCTTTTGGAATGTTGACTCATAGGAGCAGTTGCATTTTGTTACTGGAATATAAAGACCTCATCTTTTAAGGTTTCTTTTTTTTCTTTTTTTTTTTTTTTGAGACGGAGTTTCGCTCTCGTTACCCAGGCTGGAGTGCAATGGCGCGATCTCGGCTCACCGCAGCCTCCGCCTCCTGGGTTCAGGCAATTCTCCTGCCTCAGCCTCCTGAGTAGCTGGGATTACAGGCACGCGCCACCATGCCCAGCTAATTTTTTGTATTTTTAGTAGAGACGGGGTTTCACCATGTTGACCAGGATGGTCTCGATCTCTTGACCTCGTGATCCACCCGCCTCGGCCTCCCAAAGTGCTGGGATTACAGGCGTGAGCCGCCGCACCCGGCCCTAAGGTTTCTTTCTTAACAGTTTTAGATTCTTGGATGCTGAATGTTCACCAGCTCTTCCAGCTAGATCTGTGGAGTCAGAATTCCATGCTCTTTGGGACGTCTGAGAAAGCTAAGGTGCCATTCCTGTCTCCTCATTTTGGGGTTCAGATTGTGAGACAAAATGCCTGTTGAGACTTCCTGAAAGCATAGGAAGCATTGGAGCAGTGGACTCTGGAGTGGCTTCAACAGGCACCTCAGAGCACAGTGGCAGGCTGAGAATGTCTGCGTGATCCCACACGAAAAGACTGCCTGGGCCTCGGAAACCACTCCTGCTTGTGTGTTACCTCCTGCTGCTGGACATGTGTGTGGTGTTTGGTGTTGCCACAGCATGGAGGGAAATGGAGAACAAACGGTGTCAGCTCCTTGGATATTAGTTAACCTCATTCAGATGATTCTTAGGTGTCCTATTGGGAAGTAAACCGATTTCCCTTGTTTCGCCGTAGAACCTGATTGCTCACATACAGCAGAGAACGAATACATAGCATAAGGCGCCAATTGCCAGGCTGACCAGGGTAGTAGGGAACTGGGTCCCACTTCCGTAGCACCCCCAACCCTATCTTCTAGAGTTGGACTGCACATTGCTAACTCGGCTTCCTTTTTTTTTTTCTTTTGGATCTCTTTAGATTAGAAAAAATCTGTATTTGACTTTCCTATGTTCATTCTGATTTCATTCAGTCCTTCCCTCTGAAGCAGCTCCCCCACTCTCTCCACTTAGCTCCTATCTTACTTCACCATATCTTTTCTAGTCCATAAATACTACCTTCCATCCTTTATTCTGGTCCTTGAACTCTTTCCTTTATGCTTCTGTTTTTCCTACCAATCCCCAACTCATACAGAACCCTACTGTAGGAAAACATAACTGAGAAGAATTTAACTGGGTTTGAATAATTAAATAAATTCCCATATGAAGGTGCAGTTAATAATTTTCTAGATACTTTGTACACATGACACTGAAAAGCGGTACAGAGTCTATAAAATAGCTCACTTGGGGGAAAATTACCATTGCTACATTTTCAGCCTTAAGTCATAAGGAGTGCAGATGGTTAGCCAGCCTGTGTTTCTCCCACCCACCTTCGTTTTAAACTGTCCTACCCTGGAGAGATGGATGCTTATAAAGTAAACGAAGAAGACTTTCCTTTACCTCTAGGATGACATAGATTGTGATTGACAGGGTCCAGGTAGCTCTTAGTATGTGAAGGGGAGTTATAATGTGTTAGACTTTCTTGATTCATTCCGTAAACACCTATTCCTAGTTCTTGTCTGAATCTGCATTTATTTTGCAGCAAAGATGTCCCCAAATAAGGTGCCTATATATAGCAACAGATTCTACTTCCTTACATCTTGTTTCAGAACAGCTCACACAGTTTTTTAAACACATTTCAATGGGCACAGAATCCATCGTGGTAGGAAGTAAAACTGTTTTTACATGTATATTCGGTCACTTCCCAGTTTTTTCTTTTTCTTTTTGTTTTTTTCTTGCAAGCTCCTTTTGTCCCGGCTGACTGAGACCTGCATAACATCTCAGCCAGCTGAGTTGGACATTCTGGGGTTTTTGTTAGTGTCTAAATCTATGCAGAACAGTAGAATATGTGCTGCTTGAATCTTGCTGTGCATGAGCTGCTGGAAGTCACTGTGTCTGACTGGTGTGTAGAAGCTGGGGCTACCTGTGATGGGGAACGTGAATATTTGAGAAGGGCAGGTGGATGTGGGGTGGGGATGAGAGCCAGCCTGGCCCCGTGGAGAACTGGAACCCTGTTTGCTTGTCCTGGCCAATGTGAAAACCTTGGGAAAAGTTGCAGAGTAGAGAAGTCAAAATACACTGAATCTGTTCTCTGTTTGGCCTTTTTATGCCCTGGTGCAAATTGACTAACCTGTGGTTTTTGATCATCCCTGTCCAGTGGTTGGGAATATGTCCTGTCTATAGCATTTGAGTGTTGTGAGAATAAAATGTGAAAATAGGTATGAGAAAATATTTATAAACCCTAAAGAACTCCCCGTAATAAAGTGATGTGTATCTTCCAGTGTAGGTTTTACCTTTTCTATATCTGTATATATAAAAAACATATTTATCTCATTATAAGATACATATGTCTGTACTTAGATGATAAAACTAAAGGCCAGAAATGAAAGTGTCTTCCCAAGCTCACACAGCTAATCAATGGCATAGCCAGTACTTGAATCTTCTCTTTGAATTCTGATATTTAGTAAGCTGACTGGGGCTCCTTGAAGCAGTAGCCAAATTATGGTACCAAGTACCATCTGATACATTAGTTTATTCAGCAAACATTAAGTGCCTGTTGTATCCCCAGTTCCTGGCATTTTAGGTGTTAGTTAGGTGAGTTTTGTTTCTCATTAAAATTCTGCTGCCTCTCCCTCCCCCAACAAGTAAGTAACTTTTTATGAGCTTCAGAGGCATTTAGCTTTAAAAAAAATCTTCCTCCCTTACAGTGAGCCGAGATCATGCCACTGCACTCCAGCTTGGTGCCTGGCGACAGAATGAGACTCTGTCTCAAAAAAAAAAAAAAAAAAAAAAAAAAAAAAAAAAATCTTCCTCCCTCTTTTTAACCACACTACTCTTGGTTCTTAGTCTAAAATTTTTAGTTGACATTCCTGTGTGTTTTTATCTTGCAATTGGCCAGAGGGTTATCTATTAGGAAAAGAGATTTTGGATGATTTCAGTAAGTGAAGTAGGAGTTGTGACACCTGATTATGTTAAGCTGCTTATGTTTAGTTTTCCGGGAGATGATTTAATTGTTAACTTTCCTACATCAGTCTTGGAAAGCTTTAATAGATAAGTTTATTGAAACACACTTCCAGAGTCAAATGTCACTCTTGGCAGCCACAAATGTCAACTGGGACAAGTATTCAGAGCCTGAGAATTAAGGATAGGTGTTAAATATGGCCATCCTAGGATTTTTTTTTTTTTTTTTTTCTTTTACAAACATGTTGACACAGATGAGACTCAGAAGGCAGGCATACATGTGCCTTGCCTTCATTCTCTGCAGAGTGAATGTTTTCAGGGGCTTGGGAGAGTATTTGGACTCGGAGAGGATGCACAGTTACCAGAATCTTCACAGCTGCCTTCTCAAGTGATCTTGAGTCAGCCACAGTCTAATGGAGTAGATGGTATTATTCACCCCTCCTTTGTCATGTATGAACACGACAAAACTAAGAGAGGAAGTGCCTTCCCCAAGCATGTGCAAGTAGTCAGTGGCACATCCAGTACTTGAACCCTTTTCTCTCTGAATCATGCTTTCAGCTAAGCTGATCAGGGTCCAGTGAAATAGTAAGTGACTTATGGTACTGAGTACCATCTGATACATTAATTTATTCAGCAAACATCGAGTGTCTGTTGTATCTCTAGTACCTGCTGTTGCAAAGGTGAGTCAGGCAGTAGACAGATAACTGACATAACCCAGACAGTACAGTTGCATAAGTGGCATGATATGGAGTGCAGAGTACTTTGGGAACACCCATGGAGGGAGCCACAATTGCTTGGGGTGGCGAGTTGGAAGAGGCAAATGACAGGAGGTAATGACTGAGCTGGAGTTGGAGGGATGAGCAAGAGTTAGCCAGATTGCAAAGTTGGTGCGGGCATGTGCAGGATGGCATTTCCAGACAGAATCGGAGGGCTTGGAGCAGCAATATGTGCTCACACTCGGTATGTAGCAGGAGCGAGAGGCAGGAACAGCGGTTTGAGGCCAGCTTGACAGCCCTGTGTGCCAAGTGAAGAATTCGAATGATGTTCTGTTACCACTGTATACCACATGTCCTTCCCCTGCAGCTCTGGCTGACATCTGTCATTCTACCCTACTCCTGTTGGCCTTACTTTCTCCCTTTTACCCCTTTCAATGTTTGTTTTAAGCTGTCAGTGTTTACTGCACCCCATACAAGGTTAAATGACCCCACCAGCCCTGATCTGACTACTGGGAGAGATTTCTCTGTATCTGCTGGAGGGATTGAGAGAATTGGTACAGAAGGAGTTTTGTGGATCATGATATAAAATTACGACTCTGAGAAAGAGGGAATAAGCATGATAGTAGGATTGGAGAAAGGTTTTTTTGTTTGTTTGTTTTGTTTTTTTCCTTTTAGACCATTACAAAAACTCATGGGTTCAGGGTATATCAGTTGTGTGAATATGGTGGATATTTGAAGACCCCCCACCCCCAGCATGTATTGAGTTTATAGCCACTGTGCAAGATGCACCTTAAAGATTGATAGTTCATGCACTTTTATCCTGAGGTGTGAGGTATGAGACCTCTGTTATAGGGGAGAGAGTGGAGGCTCAGAGAAGTTAAATAACCTGCCTGAAGTTGCTCAGCCAGTAAGATATGGAACCAAGGATTTGCATGTGGGCCTGCCAAGCTCTTCCTCTATGCCCCCTGCCTCCCATGTGTGTAGGTGGGTCTGTCAATACTGCCCTGGGTATCCGGCAGAGTGGCTGTGGTTCCCAGTCTACCCCCTTGGCAGCCTTGCTTACATTAGCTGGGTTTGCTGACAGGTGATCAAACAAGCAGCCAGCTGCTCTGATAGGCCTGGGAACTTGTCCCTGGAGAGAATGGCCAAGTCCAGGAAGGTTGTGCTGGGTCATGAAGCAGAAGTGTCTGGACATGTCACGCAGTCTGCTGAGCCAGCAGTGCCCACTTCATATCCCTTTCTGTAGGTCCTGTGTTTACTCCCTGCCTGGTACTCATCCCTTAGCCCAGGAGAGGCCCCATTGGAGGAGGGAGAGTTTCAGCAACTTCTGGACACCGTGCCATAGGAACTTCCCTTTTCCAGTCTCTGAGATGTTTGCAGTGACCTGGCCCAGGGGCATTGCAAGAACGAAGATGGAATGCTGATGGGGCAAGGGTGACATGGAAGCCAGGCATTCCAGCTGTGTTCAAAGCAGCCACAATTGATGTGGGAGCAGGTCCCGTTTTATGTATTTATCATTCTGAGGCCTTCAGAAACTGTATTGTTAGCTACATGAGTGTTGAAAGGGCTGCGTAAACCAGGAATCAAATTCTCTAGATTGACATCTGCTGGAAAAATCCTCTGCTGGGATTGCTACATGTTTAATAACCGTGTGTTTTGAAGAATGTTAAAGATAAGACAGTTCATGTTGTGTTGCAATGTTTATGACACAGGGAGTGGAGGCCTGTAATTAAATCTGCATAAAAAGGCCATGTTTTCCAAGTGTACTTTGAACTCCTTGGGGCAGGTGTTCTGAGTGGGTGCATCATCTCATTTTCCCCTGTGGAGGCGGCTGCTGGCCTGGGAATGGAGGTTGACACCATTTGTTACAACTGAAGTTTCTGGATGTCTAGAGGAGGCCTCTTTCCCCCCTTACCCACGCCCCACCCCACCCCAGTCCAGAGCTGTTGTCTCCTTCCTATGTTGGGAGACTCGCTGCCGGTTGTCTGCTGGTGTCTGAGTTGGTTAACCTTAACTGAACCTCTTAACTGAACTTTCCTTGTTATATGTATTCCAGCTCTCAGTGAAGTGACATTCTGCCCTCTGGGCCCAGATCCCTGAACCTTCCCCTGCATTTCAGACCTAAATAGCACCCTGTCAGAAAGATCAGTGGGGCTGAGCACTGTGGCTCACATCTGTCATCCCAGCATTTTGGGAGGCCAAGGAGGGTGGATACTTGAGCCCAGGAGCTCAAGAAGATCCTAGGCAACATGGTAAAACTCTTGTCTTTGCAAAAAAAAAAGCCCACAAAAAATTAGCAGGGTGTGGTGGTGCACACCTGTGGTCCCAGCTACTGAGCAGGGAGGAGTAAGGGGAAGCTGAGGTAGGAGAGGATCACTTGAGCCCAGGTCGAGGCTGAAGTAAGTCATTAGTGATCCCTGTCTCAAAAAAAGATCAGTGGGTTGGAAGTGAAAATCCCTTCCCAAACTCAACTCTGGGGAAGAAGCTCTTGCCTTCTCTGGCCCTCCCCTGCCCACTTTGTCCACCCTGCCTTGCCCATCACAGCAGGCCTCCTGTTCCACTGCAGTACCCTCCCCGCTAGTCTCCTTGTGGGTGACCAGTCCTTACTCTTCTTTGGATTGCTGTTTGTGTCAGGACTCACAGCTTTGAAGGAGGCAGAAGCCACCATCATATTTTGTTTGCTACAGTTCAGACCTCTGGATGTTGATCAGTCCCCTATCCTTGCCTTAACTCCATGCACGCAGTTACACTGTGGGGCAGATTTGAGATGCTCAGCTTGTGTTCCGCAGCTTGTTTTCAGGCTGTGTTGATCACACCTGCCTGCTGCCTTTCAGGATCACCTTCTTAGTTCTTTGTATCCACCTTTGTCCCAGCCCTAAACAACCTTAACTTGAAGGCCACACACCACACCTTTGGAGCTGCCCTCTTCCTTCCTGTTAAAGCCTTCCTTGCTTTTCCAGTTGCTTTTCCACTGTTGACCAAAGCAGAGGGGACTATGACCTAGGAGTATAATCCATCTCCCTGCAGTTGTGTGTGATGTCTGCGAGGAATGAAATTTTTTTTTTTTTTCTGAGACAGAGTCTGCACTGCGGGAATGCAGTGGTGTAATCGCAGCTCACTGCAGCTTCAACCTCTGAAGCTCAGGTGATTCTCCCACCTCAGCCTC